CAAACACTAGCTTTCTATTTTTTCTATTCTATCTACTTGTTTTTCTTTGTTTGTGTGTGTGTATATGTGTGTGTGTGTACAATATATATATATATATATATATGCACCTTGCTTTGTGTACTGCGTTAGGCTAACCAAGACTTGTCATTTGCACTTATATATTGTTGCTCTTTTGTTAGTTTTGACTGCTTTTATTGTCCTCATTTGTAAGTCGCTTTGGATAACAGCGTCTGCTAAATGTAAATGTAACAATACAGATTGTTACAAAAAACTAAACAAAAGCAGCTTTACAGTATCAAATAGGAAAATAGTGTCAATAATGCAGAAGGACAATAGTAAACACTCAATTTTCAGTTAAAGGCAGTTCATCATTGCATTCAGTGATATCATCGTCCAGCTCAGTTCAGTTTAAATAGCATCTTTGCAATCAAGTTTATGGACTGGACCTGGTGGCTACGGTGACCTCGGAATAAGAAAGAAACAGACTAAAATTAGCGTAGATGCCATTCTTCTTATGATGTAATAAGTACATTTGGGTGTTATGGGAAGTGTTCCCGGTTCCGGTTGACCTAATTAATGCAGCCTAACAATCTTTTAATGGATTTGAATATTAGAAGCGTATTAGTGTGTTATGTGTAAACCAGGTTAAAGAGATGGGTCTTTAATCTAGATTTAAACTGACAGAGTGTGTCTACCTCACTAACAATGTTAGGTAGGTTATTCCAGAGTTTGGTCACTAAATAGGAAAAGGATCTACCTCCCGCAGTTGATTTTGACATTCAAGGTATTATCAAATTGCCAGAGTTTTGAGAACGCATGCGGACGTGGAGGATTATAATGCGATAAGAGCTTTCTCAAGTACTGAGGTGCTAAACCATTCAGGGCTTTATAAGTAATTAGCAAGATTTTTAAATCTATATGATATTTAATAGGGAGCCAGTGCATTGTTGACAGAACTGGGATAATATGTTCATACTTCTAGTAAGAACTCTAGATGCTGCATTTTGGACCAGTGCAGCGGACATGGAGGACTATAATGCAATATGAGCTTGCTCAAGTACTGACGAGCTAACCCATTCAGGGCTTTATAAGTAATAAGCAAGATTTTAAAACGTATTCACTGTTCAATAGGGAGCCTGTGCCAGAACCGGGCTAATATTGTCATACTTCCTGGTTCTAGTAAGAACTCTAGATGCTGCATTTTGGACCAGCTGGAGTTTTGTTTATTAAGCGTGGAGAACAACCACCCAATAAGGGGCTGTTTACATGACAACGTTTTCAGCCAAAACGGGAAACATTTTATGCTTTTTGCCTGTTCGTTTACATGACAACAGTGTTTTGGGGACTGAAAATGCATATTTTTGAAAACGGGTTTCAAAGTGCAAGTTTTTGAAAATGCCACCGTTATCGTTTCCGTGTAAACACCCAAAACGGGAATCTTTGAAACGGTGACATCATGCACGTGCGTAGTATGTGTTAGGTATGTAGACATGCGCAGTACGTGTCGATTTTAAAGGCAAGCGCGAACAAACATACACAACAATGGCAGAGTACATGGTACTG